AGAGGGTTGGAAAAGGTTGTGGTGAGATTGGGGAGCTTTATTTCTCAGTATAATAATCAGGATCTCCTATCTTAAAGTAACAACAGTCTATGTATGTGGAGGTATGGAGTAATGACCATGCTAGAAAGACATCTTGAATAATGTACCTATTTTTTAAAATAACATAATACTTAATGACTTTTTTATTGGGAACATGACACTTGACTCTTCCAGCTGCTTCCTAAGGAAGGTACATATTTGGAAGCTTTCTTATAACAGAGAAGTCCTTTTCATACCCAGTATTTTCTGTGTGACCACTGAATGGTATAACATTGGAAGCTCTATCCTTAGAATAGAGTTTTCCTGCAGCATTATATAGACTGACCTAATCTAAGAGTGAAGCTCCAAAAATGTTAGCATATTGGCATGAACCACTGCCACGTTTACATATGACAGTATCTTATTTTAAACTATGATCTATGATTTGTCTTTACAATTTTAAATCGTAAGCCTCACCTTTCATGTAAAATTTTCCAAAGGCTTGCATAACAAGCATTTGAAAAAGAATCTCATAAATGCTCTCTCTTGGGAAAACTGCACATGCAACTACCTGTTTACATATGCAGCAACTTGAATTATACATGAAAATGCCACATGGATGCCCAGAATCAGCTCTGTGTTAATTCAAGAAGTATATTAATTTTTGGATGTATTTAGTAGCAGATCATAAGAAAAATCTGTTCTTTAAAACTGGGTTTTCTTCTTTTAAAAAAATGCTGGTTGGAATCTACTATTTCAAGTAATCTACTCCTCTCAGGAAAGATAATTTGATATAAATATTAATTTCATAATACATTAAAAATGAGATATAAAGCTTTAAAAATCATTAGGAATTCCATATTTAGATCTTTAAAAGAGCCTGTAAGACTGTACAATTTCCCTACCCTACAAAAGTTAATGAAAATACAATTTAAATGATAAATGTCAGTTGCAGAAGTTATCACCTTTTTATTTGAATGCTTGACTTCTATTGGATAATTCTATTCCAAGAGACCTTCTTGGGAAAAAGAGGTGACAGCCAACTCATTGCCTAATTGATTTAGGAACAGTGCCCAGGGAGACAGTCCAATTAAGTTTACAAGCTGGCAATTAGCAGGAAGCCCTCTAAATCCCTACACTGAGAGCCTGTTTACTTTAGTAAGAAGGCAAATGTGCTAGAGATAGGAAGAGGAAGCTGTGCTTTGTGCAAAGCTGCTGTGAGTAGGCCCACAAGGGAGAGCAGAAGAAAAGCCAGGTATACTAGGCAGCTGGCTTCTGTTTGACAGGTAACTGAGTAATTTAAAGGGTGAGAGAGGGAGAAAGAAGAAAAGCAAGGGACAGAGAGAGAGAGACAGAGAGAAACTGTGTCTATTTTAACAGACATGGAAAACATCAAACATCTACTTTAATTGTTGTTGTGTACGGAGACATACAACTGTTAAACATGTAGTTGGGAAAAGTATAACTGGATTATCTCAGAGTAACGAGGTCCCAAACATTTTTAAACAATTTTCACATTATGACTAGTTAGCTGCATTTTTATTATTAGAAGGAACACAGGCTTCATTGTATGCATTGTATCCTTCAGGTTAATCAAACCATTTTCACTAAATTTATTTCCTATGTTCAATTACAGAGACAAGTAGTCACACACAAAAACAAAGTAAACTGAAAGCTATCTCTACTTACCAAACACTACAATGTCTTCAAAACCTTAACTTTGTGTCATACAGCCAAATCCTATATATAAGGTTTCAAAATAAATTTTTCTATCTTTCAAATTGCCATAATGTATATTAATTAAAAAAAGTTTTTGTAAACCTAAGTCCTTTGAGAACATTAAATTATACAAAACTTGCTTGGTATTTCAGAGCATACCTGTGAATCCAAAGATACAAAAGGCTAATGATCATCATAATAAAATTTCAAGTTAAAGTTTCCTGGTAGAAATGAGGTATATTACATTACGCTTATAGATACTGGTGAAGTGTTTGTATATTTCTGTCCCAAGGGGGGATGGTCAAAGATCAAAAAGTTACAAGGATTGTTGGCAAATTTTAAATAAATATCTGACTTCATTTCTTTTTAAACATTTGCTCCATACAATTCCAACCTGAGAAGCAATAGGCATGGATAACCAAAATTATTTTTACAAAAAAGTATTACATGCTATAACAGTTGTTCTCAATGAACATAAAAGTTACTCTAAAATTTTTGACTTATGTATTTCTTAAGGAATATTTCAATTGCACAATTTATTTTAGAGACTATCAAGTCAAAGTGCAGACATTTTAAGACATTTATTACTTTAAAAATTTTATTATTTTTATTTTATGAGTATATTGCCTGCATGTATGTGAGTACACCTGTGTCGTGCAATGCCACGGAGGTCAGAAGAGGGCTTCAGATTCCCCTGGAACTGGAGTTAAGGATGGTTCGTAGCCACCATGCGGGTGCTGGGACTCGAACCCGGGTCCTCTTCAAGAGCAGTCAGTGCTCTTAACCGCTGAGCCATCTCTCCAGTCCCTTATTTATTACTTTTATGTGCATGTGTGTGCCTGCATGAGTTTATATGTACTGCATGCATGCAAGAGCCTGCTGAGGCCAGAAGGTGTTGGATCCCCTGGAACTGGATTCAGAGGCAGTTGTGGGCCACCATGTGGGTACTGGGAACCAAACCCAGGTCCTCTGCAAGAGCAGGAAACACATTTAACATTAAAGCTGAGCTGTCTCTCCAGCCCTGAAAGCTCAGACTTTTTAATCATCACAATGGACAATTAGTGCAAATTCCCAAGTGTTCAATATCTAATGTTCCTTTGAGAGTCAGAAAATCATCCACAAGCATTTCCAAGGAAACTACATGAAATGCTTAAAGGGCAGAAACACTCCTATGTGATGACAAATAGAAAAGCCACGTTTAAAGAATAATTTGATTGCTGTAGATACTATGACCAGCATGAACACTGTACTCACCAACTTCCTTGACTTACCAAGTTTAAACCAAAGCACACCCAAAGGTCCTCTGTCGAACCTGAGAAAGAGGAGATCATAGATGTCTCCTCTTTGAGGCTTCTGAGAAACAATGGGAGGAGCTATCCACTGCATTTGAACAAGACTGCTGGAAACATCAAAGAATTTATTGAACTGCAGAGTCTCCTTGGGTAGGCGATCTTCAGCCAAGAGCTGGATGTTAATAGGGGATAGAGCAATATCAAAAATCTGCAGCTCCCCTTGGTTGCTGCCAACTAGCAGAATGGCACCACTTGGGTGGCAGCTTATTAATGAAGGCAAAAGTTCAGCTTGGGCCAAGAGAGTCACTCCTCGGTGGGTTTCATAGAGAATTACTGAAGAGTCTTCACAGCCCAGAATCAGTTTGTCTTCAGTAGCATCCCTGCAGCAGCTTATGGCCTTCGATCTCAGGGGTATTCTGGTAACTGACACACAATGGATTTTGTTCCGAACACATTCATAGATGCAGCTGTCAGCCATGGGCTCCTTGTCTACACTGATGGAGCACTCCACCGTGAACACCTGATACGGTTGTTTGGTGCCAAAGCAAACATCCAGTGGATTCCATTCTGTACGAACAGAACTCAGAACCTGTAAGAGATGTGCCAAGTCCATTAACACAGACCTACTTTTGCTTCAGCTGTCATGCTCAGGAGAGCATTTTAATTTGAATTTGAAACTTATTAAAGACTACCAACTGCACCTTAACTATCAATAATGTAGAAGTAAAAGTAGTACATGTATATGTGCATATATATCAGCATAGCAGCAGGAGTTAAACCATAAGATTTTTAACTTTAATATTTAGTTTTAGAAAAAGAAATCTGTAAATCACTTAAAGTTATATATGTCTCACAACATATAACAACTAGTAAGGTGGGATTTTAATAAAATAATAAGGTTAGCAGAATATATTTAAAAGTTAAAAAAGTTAGAGGACTTTAAAGAATTGGGTAATATAATCTTCTTTCTACCCATCACCCTTACTAATTTTGAAAATATCAATAGACAATTTGCCAGAAATATAATTCTATTTAGTAGGGCTGGGTACACGAGGGGGAAAAACTTTAGAACTCTATAGAGTTCTATAGAATTATTTTGCTATCAGAAAAATAAAAAATATGACAGATTGTTAGACAGACAAATGACCACAGAAGAAACAGTGTTATGTGCAGGCTTTAAAATAAGAGAAGAAATTTAAAACTAATAAATGATACATGTTAAAACTTGTAAAATGCAATTTACAAGTTATCTAACATAGAAAAGAAAAACTTCTGCTTTACCTGCCCACAGAAACACGAACCCAGAAAAAATAAATATAGTTGGTCATTCTAGAGCCAGGAGGGTGTTATTAAAGAGGATATTTCCTAACACTTTGCTAAAAAGTGAAACATTAAATGATGTAGAAACATTAACACTTAGGAAAAAATTTTTAAAATTGCACATCTACAATGTACATCATGCTGTATCATGTGCCGTTTGAGCTCACTGAGAAGCTGGTCCTGGATGCGGGGCTGCACCCTCTTCCCCATTTTAGACCTAAGCATATTTGTTTCAAAGTGTCTTCCAAGGCCTCTTGCTTGGGGAATGACTTGGTTCCCCAACTCTGTAATACATAGGGGAAGAGAACAGCAAAACAGCCCAAGAATAAAAACATTGTGCCTCTGAGAACAGCTAGAAGGTGAACTTTCCAACAGAAGCTACTGTTGTTTATCCCATGGTATAAAAGTGCCTGCGGTAGAAAAGAAACTGGACGTTCAGCCATGGGAAGCTCAACCATGGAGAGAAAACTCACTTGGGAGCTCCTGCTGACTTCTCAGTTTCCCCAGCTTCACAGTTTGATAATGTGATGGATAGCTTTAGTGTCAACTTGACACACCTGGGTTGAGGGAGCCTCAGTCGGGGAATTGCCTCTATTGAATTGGCCTGTGGCCATGTCTGAGGGGCATCTTCTTGATGAGTGATGTGGGAGGGCCCAGCCCACTGTGGGTGGTGTCACCCCTGGGCAGGTGGGCCTGTGTTGCATAAGAAAGCAGGCTGAGCAGGGGCCAAGGGAGCAAGCCTGTAAGCAGCGTTCCTCCATGGTCTGTGCTCCAGCTCCTGCCTCCAGGTTCCTGCCCCGAGTTCCTACCTTGGGCTCCCTGATGAACTGTGTGCGACCTGGAAGATGTAAGACAAATAAACCCTTTCCTCCCCAAGTTGGTACTGGTCAGAGTGTTTCGTCGCAGCAATGAAGAACAAAGACAGATAATATCCTCTCTTGCTGATGCTCTTGGTTCTTTTACTTGGAAGCAGGTGAACACAGACACTCAGCTGCCCTAGACATCTCTTTTGGGAACACCTGATGGCTGCCTTAAAGGAGTTTCCCGAGTGGGTTTTTGTCTGATGTTTTTTAGCACCTGATTTTCATGATGTTTCTCTCTTTTTCTCTCTCTGTTTCTGTTTCTGTTTCTCTGCTTCTCTCTCTCTCTCTCTCTCTCCACTCTTTAACTTTGGATTGCTACATACTTAATCAATTCCCTATTCAAAATCAAGAGTATGGCTGTCATAGAGCGTTCTTTGTATGTTCAGAACATCAACCACCCCCAACAACAACAACAACAAAACACACACACACACACACACACACACACAAACTATAATGCAGAATCTGATTATATTTGACTGAGATATGTCCCTGAGTTAATAGTACTTGCAACAAAGTCACTTTCTTGTATGTGATACTGTGCTACAGAAATGTAGGATATTATTACAATTCATTTTTACTGTTTTAACAATTTCTTGTGAGTCAAACCACTTTAAAATTAAAAGGTACAGAAAACTAAACAACCCATATAGCTATGTTATAGAATGCTGGGCTGGGAAAGGGAATGAGAGTTGGGGTGCGTGCGTGCGTGTGTGTGTGTGTGTGTGTGTGTGTGTGTGTGTGTGTGTGTAAGACAGAGAGAGAGAAAGAGAGAGAAAACATATACATGGAGGTCTGTGGTAGACATGGGCTGTCTGCCTCATTCTCCATTCCACTTTATTTTTGGAGACAGGGTCTCTCACTGAACTTGGAGCTCTTCAATTCAGCTAAACTGACTGACCAGCAAGCCCCAGGGAATCCTCCTGTCTCTGATTCCCTAGTGCTGGGATTACAAGTGCACATGGCAATGCCCAGCTTTTTATGTGGGTGCTGGAGATTCAATCTTAGGTCTTTATGCTTGTCCAGCAAGACTTAACTGACTAAGCAATCTCTCCAGCCTTGATGTGATTAAAAAAAATAAATCTAGGGGCCAGAGATATAACTCAGTAGTTAAAAGCGTTTGCTACCCTTGCAGAGGGCCCAGATTCAATCCCCAGCACTCATAGCAGTTCACAGTTGTCTATAACTCATTTCAGGGATCTGATGCCCTCTTCTGGCCTCCATGTGCACCAGGCATGTACATGGTACACATACATACATACAGGAAAATACTCATATACATAAAAAATAAAAATAAAGCTTTAAAAAAATCAGTCTAACAGATCACTAGCAATGTAATCTTCTCAAACTGAAAGATTTTCACTTTCCTGTTCAAATTTTTCAATGACTCCCCACTGACTAATGGTTACAATTTTCATTCCCTTGATCAGAACACAAAACACTGTGGGGTATTCCAAATTGCTCCTTTCCTCACATCCTTTTTCTTGCTCTCATTTTCTTTTTTGTCTGATAAATATTTTAGTATGAGTTGTGTGCCAGGCATGGGCCCTGGAGACAGAACAGTGAAAAAAATCCTCTCTGTCAGGGAGCATGTGTTTGCATGGGAGAGAAAGTAGCATCCTGTCCTAACCCACTGTGTGACACCTGTAGAACAAAAGACAGGTCATGAAGAAAGAAAGGCAGCGAAATTACTTAGCCAGTTTTATATTGTGTAGATGTCTTCAGACAGCAAAACCCTAGACCCAGGTTGAACTGTGCTTCTCTGCTTTGGACAACCAGTAAGGAGAATGCATAACTACTGATGATAAAGCAGAGCGCTTAGCAAGCCTCTGCTAGAGCTTGAATCGGAAAGGTCCCCTCTAGGCTCCTGTTCTGAGTACTCAGTCTCCAGCTTGTGGAGCTGTTTTGAAGGCTATGGAGACTGTCAGAGGTAAAGCCCTGTAGGCAGAAGCAGGCCACTAGGGGCAGGCCTTTAAGAATTAAACCTACCCCAAGTGGTTCTGCTTTTTCTACACTGAGTCCCACATGTGAACGAAACACTTCCCACCACTGGCACCACAGCCAGGGCTGCTCCCACTGCCATGCCATCCCCTCAGTGACAGGCTCAACGCTAAAATGATGAGCAAAATCGGGCTTTCTGTACATTGTTCTCTCTGGTGTTCTGTCAGTGATGAGAAAGAAGGTAACAGAAAATCAGTGCCAGAGAAACAGAATTGCTGATAGACCCTATCGTGTGGTTCTTGGGAAACAGGATTGCTAATAAACCTGATCTTGTGATCCTTAGGTCTTTGGAACTGGTTACTGAGGGGATCTGAAAGTTTAGAGATCCAAGTTAGATAAAAACGAGCCTGAGGTCGCTGTAGGGTCAGGTTCAGAGTACCAGAAGACCATTGCAGATTGTACGTATGACAGAAGTTCATCAAATACTACACTCAGGAGGTTCAGACAGAAACAACCACGCTACTAGGAATTGGACTAGAGGCTATTTCAGCAAATAATATGCCCACATGTCCTGAAAATTTGAATGAAAGTGAATTTAAAAGGAATGGACTAGTTTATTTGAAGACAGCATAGCATTCAGGATGTGGCCTGGTTTCTTACTAGCTGTTTTTAGCCAGGTTTACAGTGATAGATGCAGAGACCAAGAAGAGGAACAGGCAGGTTGGAAAACTGTGCTGCTTGGCAAGAAAAGAAGCATAAATACACTTATAGTTGAGGACAAGGAAGGAGAAGAAAGCAACTACCATTGTTAAGAGACTGGTGCCATTAAGAAAAAGCAATGTACTTTGCACATGGACAATAGGATGGTGCCTCAAGTAAAAGTACAAATCCAGCTGAAATTTGAAACGAGTGCCTAAAAAGAGAAGCTCCAGGGCGGCCTACTGGGAATCAGGCACACATGGAGGTGTTTTTCTTCAGTCACCCATATACTGGGAGGTGACGGCCATAGTCCATGGAGGCCTAGATGCTGCTCAAGTGAGCAGAAGCTGGCATTGTCTACATGGTGCTAGCTTTGCAGATATGTAAAATGGAGACAGTGAGGGTCATGAAGGCTTCCATTAAGACTTTTTAAGAAATTCATGTGAGGCCATGAAATGTGCATCAGGGTCAGATTCTTTTTGTAGGGAGCCCCTGATATATAAAACTTGAGGATGAAGCATAAGCCGTAAGCCCAAAGGGAGACCCCAGGATGTTGGAGACCAGAAACATGGACCATCTGCCCATGTGCGGAGGAAAGCTGTAGGCATTAACTGCAGCCAGCACAAGGTAAAGGCCATGTTTGTTGAAAAGGGAAAATACGTATGGGTGGGGCTGCCCAAACCTTTTGGGAGTCGAGATAATGTCATCGCGTCTCCACGTGCTGGACAGGGCCTTGGTGTTTTTTCTGCTGGGTTTCAAACTTGGT